TTATCTAGTTGCATTTCTACAGTATCATTTAGTGCTTTATATCAACCGCTAATCATAAAGAGAGCTTAATTTCAGTACTGATGGGAAGATGGAACCGTTTAAGAATAGATACAATGCACGACATCTCAAAGATAATATTATGTGTATATTTAGCATCTAGAGGCTAATTGATGTCTGCACGTCTCCATTGCCGTTCGTAAATCGCCAGATGTTCGCGGTCGAATAGATAAAATGCCTGCCCTATTCATTTCAGTTCTCAGGGGTTTCTGTTTCATGCGTGACTTGAAGAAGAAGACAAGACTGGAATGATCACATTCGTAATCAACGTTACATTAGACTAGATGGAATCACGTTGGTGGAAGATGTTCCGTAGTGTAAACTGCGACGGAGTCCTTCTCATCGCATAACCATCCATTCTGATAACGTATTCTATGTCAGGAATCTCATCTAGATGTAGGAAAACACAAAAAATCCATTCCACCGCAGCTATATGTTTTTCCTTTGTGAATCTCTTTTCCTCAATGAGAGATTCTGCCTTTTTTGTTTCCTTTGAATGCTTCACATTGTCAAGGTGCTTGTGGTTTGATTGAGGACAGGATGCAAGAACGACGTACTAAGCGAATGACGTTGACAGTTTCTCATAAAGACGCACATCTTAAGCATACGAAGCGAGATGACGTTATTTGTCACGACTTTGACGATGTTTTCCCACCGACTGCTAGTGGAAAACAGAGGAGGTTAAGAAGAACAGAAATATTTCGAAAGATAATCTTTCCAATGATGACGTATCACTACTAGTTCAGGATATCATCAGAAAAGACCCAAGAAGACATCATAGCAGTGAGCTTCAGATAGCTCCAAATTTTAAAAATGTAGTACTATAATGGGAGAACCTGAAATAAGTGACTGAGGTCAACGTGCTCTTCATGCGGTCACCGTAAAACCTTCGACCGTTCCAATTTTTCTCGCTTTTCTCTTTTTGATATACAGATGAGATGATGTGAGCACAACTGAAGACGGTATTTTTCATGCGAGTGAGGGCTCTCTAGATATTTTGTCTTATTTTTAACATTTCTTTCTTGGACTTTTCATCGACCTATCGTTAAGATCAACTCGCTAAAATTTTTCAAGCCTTTTGTTTCAAAAAAATTGCGACTTGTTCAGACGAATTTCATTCATTTCTTTTATACTCTTGTTTGAATTTCAATCCATAACAATCCAAAAAGAATTTCCTAGTCCAGTTTCAACAAATTAAGCGTGTTATAGAAAGGAGCAGCACAAGCTACGTAGTGCTTAGGGAGAGAGCTCAAACGACAAAACAGATCAACGATCATTTTCATGATTCCCATATCAGTTATTAGTTTTAGACACATTCACACTGACAAGTACTGACTAGACATGTGATCAAGAATCTGCACAGAACACCAACAAATATTGTGGAAGTTGTGAAGGATTATTAAATTTTCCAAACTCAATTTCCGTCTATTTCTCAGAGAATTGAGATTATAAACGAGCTGTGAGTTCATTTCCGAGCAAAATCGGATTGAACAATGTAAATGACTGCAAACGTAGTAAAAAAATTGTAATAGAAGTTAAAAATTAAGAGAATTTTTGGCTAATCATTTGTATACTTGTAAATTAGCCGGTAAAAAAACAAAACAACTTTGAGGAAATTCAATAAAATTGAATGAGCTTGAAGTAAGAAAAAGAGTACGGTAAAGGTGTTAGATTGGATAATAGGCAGAACGAAGATTAGCCTATTAATAGAGACCACATCAACTAATGTTTTCTTAAGGAATTTCAGCACGACGCCGCATATTTGGATAGCCGAGAAGCAGAAGAGGCTGAGCGCAATGAAAGAAAGCTCATCAATTTCTTGGGGCTAAATTATCTTGGTGTTATTATAAATGTTCGACTAAGATGGCCAAAGTACCCATCCTAATAACAATCATACTAAAACGACTTATGCATTTGTTACAAATGCTTTCTTTGAAAAAAAGAATAGTGCAAAACTGTAGATTGAGATATGAATTATGACGCCGTTTATATTGTGTCGCTTTCAGGAGATCGTTTCGATTGTGAACTACGGAATCATGAGGGAAGAAAGTCAATCTATTTTGGGAAAATAACTATAAATATTGCGAAAGAACAGTGATTCAACTGAATGCTCAAAAACGATACTAAAATGTCTGTGAATGAAGCATCTATGTGCCATATCTTACAAAAAAAGACTATCGTACAACATCATATCAACATTTATGCACTATACCCTCTCAAAAAATGGTGTACCGAGCACTTTCACATTGCACAGAGCTTGCACTTCTACTCCTTTTGATTTCGAATCACTAAAATCTCCAGATTTTTTGCCGCCAAATGCGCATTGCTCCATTTTATTGCTTATTTGTATGGCGATTTTTTGCAAGGTCTGATGCTTTCATTGAAATCGGTCACTTCAAGCAGTTCTACTACGCAGGAAAATGGTGGCTCAAATATAAAACGAACTATCACAGCACTTCACTAAATCGCCTCGGAAAGCAACGGAACAAGCGCAATGGATGACATTAAGTAAGTTAAGAAAAAGTGCATCAATAAATCTCAGTGAGTTCATCGTTTGCACGGACCATCAGTTGTTCGTCGAATGCCACTCCACGAGACAATTTGCATTCGAAATTAAGAATAATACACGAGAAACTCAATTAGAAACTCAAATGGCTGCTCTTTGTTAGCCTCAAGGACAATGATTTTGAAAAGCTCATGTTTTTTTAGCAGTCTTCTTTTCTCGCCATGAAAGGTTACTCATCGATTGCAGTAGCAAAATTTGAGGTCTGGGCAGTTCAAAAGTCCAATAAGGATAATTCCAACTTACACGGTTTTTCAGTAATCTGTGAGCAGGTTTTTCATTTTAGTGATCGAAAACACGCTCTTTCCTTTTTTCTGTGCATACTTTCGTCGTCTGTACAGTAAATCTTGGGCGGAAAAACGATTTTGCCTTCCTTTAATTCAGAAATCTTCTAACATGATAAGATGTTTTGAGCATTTTATAAGGTCTGGTACGGCACTCCTGCAGTACTAAACAGCTGCCGCTTCGATCTTGCAGGCACATCAGATCAGTAAGACGGTGCTTTTCGGGTTCAGCCGATCTCTTGGAAGGTGACACACTCTCACTTATAAAGGAATCGACGTCGAATTATTCAATCACCTCATGTCGAGTGAAGAAATCCCCCAACATCGTAGACCTAGTGTTCATCAATCTTTCACCATATTATTTTTGACATAGAAGAAGCTTGCAGGTGCGTTACATCCACTAGTCATTGCTACTGCAATTTCCGCTGTACGTAAAAATCGTAGTCAAGAGATGGATTCAACCTCAACATCGCACCGAGTAGCTTCAATCAGTTATATACTACTTATGTAGCTAATTGTTTGCCTACTTCCTGCCCATTTACTGCTGCAATCCTTCTCCTATTCGCTGGTTTATGATTTTTGATGACCGAACTCCGACATATTTAACACGCGCGAATTTTAGAAATATCACAGAAAAAATTTAAAAAGTGAATTTTGACATTGTGTGACTTCCATAGAGGTCCATACTACTTGAAAACTCAACTATCTAAGTTTAAAAATTCCCACAAAATACTTTGCTTTTTTGGCTTCAAATCTTTTATTTAAGCTATTTTGACTATTCAGATTGAAAAGGCATTTCACAAATTTTCATTTTGCGATTGATACGCCGAGAAATACCTCTCTTGTAACCTGCCATATTTTGAAATCCCAAATTCGAGCATTGGTTACAGGTGCAGTACTGACGCGATCTGTAATCGATCCTATGCCTGTAGCTCATTAAGCCTTGCATCCGACCGTAGTAGCAAATTAGCGCCAGGTTCGTTTGGGAGGATCGCAGCATTGGATCTATAGATTAGCAGGTCACCGAAAGTAACGCACAGATTAGATATGCTTGCTTTCGATCAAGTTAAAATGTACTAAAATTAATCAATTGCAAAGGCTATACGTTTTTAAAAGACCTTTCCGCGAAAAGGCCTCAGGAAAGACTCTTGAAAATAAATATAGCATCCCGGAACAAAACAAAATATTAAGTTTTTCTGTATGTGCCATACTATTATTTACTGAGTGGAGTGGGTGACTGTGTCACATTCCAAGCTATGAATTGTGAATTTGTCAAGGCGCCAGCCAGCGCTGAATCAATGTTGTTGTTGAAAACCTTATGACAGTTATGCACAAAACAGATTCGTAACCCTACTGTCGTAGTCACGAAGATGGTAAAGGTCATACATGTCACTCGCATCGGGCGAACTTGAAAGAAGAAATGAGATTGAAGACAGCACGTGCTCCCGGAAAGAGTGAGATGCGGGTTCTAGTCCCGGCTGACGCGAAAGTTTTGCACGTCACTCTACATCAGTGGGTATGTATTTAAGACACCATACCACCGCTAGAAGCGGTTCGATAAAAAGAATTTCATTTAGTCTTTTTTACCCAATGTTTGTCAGCGTGACTGGGTTCACTGTTAAAACCGATTACCCGGGCCAGCCGTTGACGGCTGGCGGCTGACAGAAAGATGCGTCATAGCGGAGAAAGAGTAGAGTGCAAAATGGGCGTTAGTAGTGTAACGGATAGAGCACGCGCTCTCGGAAAAGTGAGGCGTGGGCTCTAGTCTCGCCAGACGCGAAAGTTTTGCAAATCACTCTACATAAATGGTACATATTTGAACATAGCATGGTTTCCCCTCACGTGTTTGAATTCAAATCCAAAAAAAGTAGAAACTCGCAACACCTCGCAATATTGACAATGAAAGACTTCCGAAAGCCTTAATATGGTGATTCCGTATAACTCTATTAAATATGTCCATAAAGTGGACACGGTTTTAGACGGCTTCCAAGAATCTAATCATAAGTAGGAAATAATGAAGGCTTTCACTTTAGAAGGAACTTATGAGTCTGTGGAATTACACAAAATTCGGAGAATTGAGTGGTGAGCAAAAACACGGCCTCAACCGGGAATCGAACCAGCGTTTCATCCTATCCGGGGACGCGCGCTCTAACCACTACACCACGGAGGCACATTTGCCCGACCACTCATTCTTCAACATCTCTCTGTTAGCTATCAGTCCAGCTTTTTGCTCACCACTCAGTTCTCCAAGATATATCAGTAGCATCATAACACTGCGAAATAAGCAGTAAAAAAGCTATAATTTCGAAGTATTATATATAACAATAGCTGTCAGCTTAACGGGATTTACAAAGCGAAATCGCATATCCGACCAAACCTGTTAAAGGTTGGTGGATGATAGCTAACATAGAGATGTTGAAGAATGAGTGGTCGGGCAAATGTGCGTCGGTGGTGTAGTGGTTAGAGCACGCGTCCCCGGATAGGATGAAACGCGGGTTCGATTCCCGGTTGAGGCCGTGCTTTTGCTCACCACTCAATTCTCCAAGTTATATCAGTAGCATCATAACATTGCGAAATAAGCAGTAGAAATACTATAATTTCGAACCATTGCACAAAATTCACAATTCAACAAGAATTCGCTAATTTGAAGACAAAAGAACGATGAGAAAAATCGGTAGTTCGTGCCGTTTGAAATGATCAGATGGAAAACAATGATCGTTTTGAAGTCCGCTCAGTGCTTCCTCCATGCAGATAAAAACCACTTCTCGAATGCACTGCAGTGTATGATGAAAATAGATCCTATAGGACAATAGAAAACGTTCAGTCAAAAGGTTAGAACAAAAAGAGGCTTTCGAACACTCCTATAAGCAGATTGTACATGAACAAATGACTGAACGAGGAGATCTTGACTGGGTTTATTCATTACAACTTCCTTATTCTCAAAAAAATGAATACAGTAGAGAATCACTCCCACTGAGTCGGTGGATTTTTTTGGAAAATGCTTGAATGCAGGTGGAATTAATCAATAGAAAAGCTTTACTCTTCTTGTACGGCTATAGCCAACCATGCACGAAATGACCGCTCAAAAGTTGGTTGAGTCCAGCCGGAAAATCCTGCTTCATCGGTCATACTCGTTGACGCCTCCCGCTAACCAACTGCCACTTTCTTGTGGCGTTTCAAAAGCTAGATGAGAGAATTTACAACAATGACACTCTTACTGGACATACATTTAAGAAACCTATTGCTTCGGACATTTCAGCATGATGCACTAAAAATAAACGGTTACCGTTTTTATATCATACCTTCCGTTTCGAGTGCTTTCTTAAGACCACGCTCAAATTTTGAACATATCTCGTAAATAATAATTGAACTAACATGTCATGTGCTCTGTTAAATAGGCTGACTTATAGAGCCCGTTACACTTATTTCGACCTTGACGGTCTCATCAGTCGGGCGGTACCGTCCTCGTCTTCTGCCAATCCTCTTGGGGCGCTCAGCCCCCTATATTAAGAGTAACCACATGACATTTGGCACAAATGATAATTACGAGATATTTGAAATTTGAGCACGATTTTGAGGCAATACTCTAAACGATGTACTAGCGATACCAGCCAAGAGCGTTCGCATTACAACACTGTGTGCTTAATGATAATTTTACTTCACATACATGTAAATGTTCATCGTCGCCTACTCTTAATATAAAGGACTGTGCGCCCCGAGAGGAGTGGCAAAAGACGAGAACAGCACCGCTTGACTGATGAGACCGTCAAGATCTAAACATGTGGATCGGGCTCTATAGGTCAGCCCATTCAACAGACCACATGACATGTTGGCTCAAATAATTATTACGAGATATGTTACCGTTTTTATCCTTCTATTGAATGGGGTTCCGAATTACAGCATCCCAATCATAAGTTCGAAAGTTTTCTGCACGTCTCATATATTCAGAGATGATTTTGCAAATGTCGGTGTTGTAGGCTAAAAAAAATCGCGTCGAGAGTTCATCTGTATGCAGGTAACCGCATAATCTATATTTTCATTTAGGAAACTCAAAAATGAATGACAAATTCCATTTCCCCTCGTCTAATAGTGCATTTCGTCCAATTCCTGACTGGAGAAAGTCATTAACTTGTGTAAAACGCCACCAACTACTTCATCAACTGAGAATCTATTTATCTTTTATTCTAGAACAAATGGCTAGATTAACTGTGGGCAGAAGAAAATGACAGATATCTTCTTGTTGATATTTATCTATTGTTACTTGCAGGACTTAAAGAACTGCTAACAATTTGACTACGACCGACTACGCTCGAACGGCTTTTTCTAAACTAATAACAATTTGCTTTCCTTGAGCACCATGGAATCAAAAAAACCTGTTTTATGCAGGAGTGATTCTATAGTTTAGAGAATTGAGTGGTGAGCAAAAACACGGCCTCAGCCGGGAATCGAATCCCCGTTTCATCCATACCGGGGACGGATGTTCACCACTCAGTTCTCATAGGTGTATATGAAACATAGCAACATTGCGAAAAATGCAGTAAAAATACTAGAAATTTGCAGGAGTGAATATTCTTGAATATATGGTATAAAACTCAGAGTGTGTAGATACGCAAGATTTCCTACAATTCACTGCCAAACGCTCTGCTCTGCTTGTTTTCGAAGAGCGTGAGAAACGTAGTGGTTAGAGACGCCGTGTAATGCACAATCGGTCTTTGATGGTTCCGCATCACTTCGGGTCATCTAACTCCCTCATTCTTTCGGAACCTCCAAATTGGTAGCAGATTCATCTGGAAACAGCTCACTCAAATCCATGAACGAGCCAGCGACTGCCTTTGGCAAAGAGTCGGAAACGCTTTATTTAGCACAGTCATTCCACGTTTCCATAAATATTCATCTCAGCATCCAACGACAGTCATTAGGAAGGAAAAACCCTTTAGTAGCAGCCATACTACACAGAAATCAGAAGTCCTTCGTGGATGACGGATATGGGACAACGAGTCGTATGAAAAAAATCGCTGTAATAGACAGGGCATTCGCTGAATAAGTTACAAAATAACTAAAATTGAAAAACTCCTACTTTTTTCAAAAGTTTGAAAAACTCTTCTCTTACTTTTATTAAAAATTGCCTCCTTCATTATTTTTCTCTTAATGCTAATATCAGTGAATGTTTTTATCAAGGGAATATGAGTTGATAAAATATAGACGATGAGCATCAAAAATGATTGGCATGAAGTTCTCGCTATTTGAGAAGTTCTAGGGCGAGTGAAACAATTTTGTACATTCACTTTCACAAAACGAGTGAACACGTTTACTGTGGCTCTCAGAGATAACTCGCTCTTCACTTTTTTCCTCTAATTGTAAAAATTTTATTACCTTCATTATTTACCTTTTCTAAGCCCTCAAAATGTGCGTTCCATCATTCATAAGGAAATAGGCCAAATCTAATTAATGGGAACTGAATAACTTATATTGTAGTCGAAAAGAAAGAAAAACGAATGCACAGCAAGGAAATGTCGCCGAAAGTTTCGTAAAACGAAGACGAAGTTCAGCACGGCAGTGACGATGTGTGATTCTGTTTAAAAGAAATCTGGATCACTGGAGATTTGGGCGTGGTTGAAGAGCGGTCAGTTGTCACGATCAAGTCCGAACAATGAATGATCCGTGCCATTAGTCTATCATGTAGTCGTAACTAAAATCGGGAGCGCTGATGATAAATTGAGCCAGATTGGTGTACAAGAGGTGGTGTGAGTTGTTGATTTTGGTTGCTCGTTGGTTTTTTAGGGATAATCTAAATGGATAAATATATACATTTTGAAGCAACATCCAATTTCTTCACAAAAGACTTAGAAGAAAGATATGATCCACAACGAATCCCTAAAGTGACGAAGACCCGCTGGGCTACTCTTGTACGCGGTAGGGAAATATAGAAGTATTTTCTTCTGTTTAGCCATTCCGAGATGTTATTGCTATTATTTATTGAATATCAGCGTAGGATATAATAATAAGGTTGATAATGCAGCATGAATATTACAACAGCCGTGGTGGTTTATGTTTCGGCGAGGTTCGCCATCTTCACAGCCTGGAAAGGTCAAATTGATTCCCAAATAATTCAGTCAAAAGCCTCCATAACCGCAGCAAAAAAACGTAAGAAACGAATTTCGGATCATATAGTAAATACTTCATTACAAAAACACACTCATCCGCTTAGATGTTTTGAGTCTTTCAAATACTCATTGAAGACCTGCCATTTAGAGTCAGTGCACACGTGAGAGTGTGCCTGGCTCAGGCCGGGAAGAATAGCCTGAGGTATGGTGCGAAGTCACGCGTTATTACGAGGCACTCCTCTTTGCGGTTCATTTTTGAGCCTAGACTTTGTATCCAAAAGGATTCTAAAGTTTTGCGATCACATGTTTTTGATTCCTGTGTAAGGACCGTGAATACGTCAAAATCTGCCCCTTTATGCTTTTGTTCGTTATGCGCGCCTAGTGGGGTTTTTGGGTAGGAGTTACGTTTCCCAGCTAGGAGCTCTCTCACATGGTTGCAGAGTAGTCTACCCGTTTCGCCAATGTATTCATCCTGGGCGTCTCACAAGAGATTAGGTAAATCATACCAGAGCTCATACAATCGCCATCTTTGCTGTTTGGGCAAACTTTACAGTCATTGGTTTCGCAAAAGCGGTCATATAGTCGATTGAGGACTAATTGGCGCTTAAATGTATTTGGTGGTATCTCTACTACTGCCACCAAATTGTCCAAACTTGCTCTTTTCAAGCAGCGTTTAATAGCCGCACTCACTTCGTTAGAAGATAAAAAGCAGAATGAATGTAACTTTATCCTCTCCAGACCTGTTTGGGGGCGCCGAATTTCCTCTTATCCTAACCTGAGGAGCCCCTACACTGTTGTAGCCATCAGAGATGGCCATTTTTCGCCCCAAGCCAGGGACTTTACCTCATGTTCTTTTCCTGTGCAAGCATTAATAGCTGTTCGATACATGTTTTTTATAAAAGCGAAGTTTGTGTGCGACGGATGGGAAGATAGGTAATAAACCAGAATGTTTTGGTTACTGGCTTGCGGTAGCATTTTGTGTTGTAGGAGTCTTGGATAGATTGATTTGAACGTTTAAAATGGCAGCCAATCTGACTTATGTTTCACACGGGTGAACTTTATGTAC